CATGGAGGTCCCTAGGACAACTGTGGCTCATAATAAATTTCGGTTTTACTCAATTGTTGAAAAAAAATAGCCAAATTAATGGAAACACATGAACTATGAACGAAAGGCTGAGGAGCCCCCAGCTGGATCAGGCCTTCTGAATAGGTGAGACAGTTGATTGGCTTGATCAGTTTGGGAGGCAACTAGGCAGTGGGACCAAGTCCTGTGCTCATTGCATGAGTTGGCTGTTTGAAACCTGGAGCCTATGCAGGGACACTTGGCTCAGTCTGGGAGGAAGGGACTGGACCTGCCTGGACTGAGTCTACCAGGTTGATTGCAGTCCTCGGGGGAGGATTTGCCCTGGAGGAGGTGGGAATGGGGGGTAGCCTGGGGGTAAGGGGAGGTTGTGGGAGGGGGGAGAATAGGGGAACCCGTGACTGATATGTAGAACTGAATGGTATTGTTAAATAAAATAAAATAAAAAAAGATGGAGGTTACATGAACATGATGGATAGGAATCTGGAGAGTCCCCAAAGATCAATCTGGACATGAGGTGATACTTAAATGACTAACATCCAACTTGTCCTGATTCCCTTTGTGTTTGCTTAACCCCTTCTCAACCCTCTACCCTTGTTTCACCTTTACAAGAATCCCAGTGTTCATAAACCATCTATTAAGTTTGTGGGACATGCACATTTCCTTATCAGCCTGTGCAGTCTTAATTCCTCTATGCATTTTATAAATGGTTTATCCTATTATTGAGAAATACATTGTTTAGTAGCCCCAATATAGTTTCCCTCTTTCTGCAATATCAGTCATTTTTTTGTGGAAATCCTGTTTTGGTATTTGGATATATCTTGTTGAGGCTGTAACTTGTCCTATAGCCCTAGAACATCATGTTAGTGTCTGATTTGTTTGAAGACAAATTATTTCCTTAGGCATATGTAAGAGACTTGTGTATCAAAAATGTAGAGACCCACGTGGATCTTTTGTTTGTAATGTAACTAAGTGCGTGTGGGAGAAATCCATGAGTTTTTTAACTTGTTCGGACTCCCAGGGTACTCAGAGTGGCACTCCATGCCTCTTTCAGTTGTCATGTTCACTCAGAATGTGCTGAGTCTTCTCTGTACATGCATTTTCCTTTTGGGCTACCAGCTCACAAAACAAAAACATGCAAACTTATTATTAATTAAGAAAGCTAAGCCTATAGCTAAGGCTTGTCTCCTATCTCTAATAACATTAATTAATCTATTTCTCATCATGTACACGTTCCCACATGACTTGCAGTGTTTACCTCTCCTCCTGCATGTCTTGCTTCCCTGGAATCTTCTTGGGGAATTTCCCTTCCTCTTCTCAGCACTCTGTCCAGAACTCTCGTCCATTGACTGTTTAACTTTTAATAAACCAATCAGAAGGTGCCTTGGGAAAGACACATCTTCACAGTGCACAAAAAGAGTATTCCACAACACCTCTCTTACACTAATCTCTCAGCCTAAAATGGTTCCCAAACTTACAAACTTATAAAATAGTTATCCAGTCCAATCCCTAGTCACCTTTCTCTTTTAGCACATTTGATAATCTCCTGAAACTCACTATACACCGTGTTATCCTGATAACAGCTGATACTGAACAGTTCCGGGAATGGAATTAGTTATCTCAGATACCTGTCCTCGTGAGGTTCCAGGCTTTGACGAATCTTTATTGAGTGTCCAGTTACCTTAAGGGAACCCAGTGCAAATGCACAGACTGGAACCTGGGCTGCTCTGTTGTCCTCACATCCTGAGGTGAGGGAGGCCAGAGTGGACTGCCTGTGGTGGCTGCAGGGGGTTCCTCAGCAGGAGGTACCATGTTGGAAGCAGTAGAGTATTCACCTGCACCTCTTTACCCTTCTGAAACCCTGATCATCCCATAGCCTAAGCACCTGGGAGGCCAGACCCCAACTCACAGTGGCTCTAAGGTATAGGACCACTTTTTCTATGCTGGAAGGTCCCCTACCTGTGTGTTTCTGCAGTCGGAGAAGCTATACTGGGTCCAAGGGGCAGCTCTTTATAATAAGTCACCACACCTGCTTCCTCTGTGATTGGATATTCTCTCCGTCCTTGAAATTCCTTTGCTGCATGACTGTGATCTGCCTTGATTTCTACCTCAACACACCTGGCTACTCATGTGTATGTTTCTACTTTTCAAATACATAGATCAATTGCATTTAGAGTGTTGCTAACATTACTTCTCTGAGCATATGCCGTTGAAGGTAGGATTTGGTGTCCCTATATCAGCCCAAAGCACATGTACCTCGAAGGGTCATCTAACTCTCCCATCCTGAGTTAGTGCTACTGAGTCTGAGACATGGAAAAAGAGATTAACAAAAAGCCAAAGAAGACATTGTGTGATTAAGAACAGCTAATAACAGGCCGCCTAACCGAGGTAGTCCAACCGAGACTACCATTGCTTATCTCCTGGTATAAAAGTGTCTGTACAAAAGCAGATAAGCATCCAGTCATTTATGTCAGCTTGGAGAATGTAGATCAGCTATAAATGCATGAGACCTCAGGTTTACTGTGGAAACAAGGTTGTACAGGGTATAAACATTAAAAAGGATGGTCACCATCAAAGTCATAGGAAAGCATCTGCAACCAAGATTTCCTTACAGTGACCTCAGAAGTCAGTGCAGGTTCATATGGCTGCTGCTCACTAGGCAGCCAGGTGACCACATGGAGTCAAATCTTTGGTCACCTCTTGGACCCTGTGAGCCTGCTGGAGACAGGTACAAACTTCAGGTGCAGTGCAGTCTGTGGTTAGAGCCACAGACCCAAAGTAGCCTCTGAGACCACCACAGCATAGACTCTGGGTGCTGCAGTGACACCTGGACCCTCACAAGTCAGCCCCTCACACCCATTATGACCTCACACCACTGGAACCAGGGCCCAGGTCTCTGCACTGTACCCACTATTTCACTCCTGGGCTATGCTCAGGGACACTCATACATCACTACAGAGATCTTTGTACTCCATATTATTGCATCTTTATTTTCAGTTGTAAAGAACTGAATCATCATCGGTATTAATGAACATATTAGTAGAAAATAAGTTGGTAAATGCTTTATCATTTTGGAGGAGGGGCTTGGGGGTTCTCAGGGAGCTAGGATGGTGGCTACAGGAGGAGGAATTAGAGGAGGGGGGGTCTGTGTTTGATATATGAAATGAATAAAACAATTTTTAGTAAAAAGACAAATAAGTTGGTAAATAAAAATGTATATGTTTATTACACGCACATACAGAGGGGATGCTAATCACAAAAATTACAGAAAAATGGATGATGTGTAATGTATATAAGTTCAAGTCATCCAATCATATAAAGACATACACTGCATGTTCTCCCTCATATTTAATCTGGACATTAAAACATATATATGTGTGAAGAGATATGTAGGTGTGTACAGTTTCTAATGTAGAAAAGGAATAAAGGTAAAATATTGGGTGATAAGGATGGAATAAAAGCAAGTAATAAACATGGGTTTTGAAAAGGACAAATGATAACTGAAAATCCCATTCCAACTCCGTCAAGCATGGATTTTAGTTTCATGGTGTATAAGAGCGTAAAATAAATTCAGTGCAGACAGTGTCAAGTCCAGTGTAAATGCCCCAGATTCTGTTCTGAATGTCCCTTCTAGCTGTACAGAAGTTCATGACCTGTGTAGTGTAACAGGCTTTCTCTTAGGCCACCAACCAGCTCCCAAGTCATAACATGGAGACTTATTAGTTATGGATGCTCAGCCTTAGCTGAGGCTCATTTCTTGCTGGTTCTTATAAATTAATCTGTTTCACTTCCTGTACGTTTTGCCTTAGAACTCTGCATACCCCTTTTTTTCTATATACCTTGCTTTCCTGCTGTCTCCATGGTTTCTGGAGCCTCCTTGCTACTGGTCCTGGTGCGTCCCTCTCTAACCATTCTCCTCTCCTTCCCTCCATCTTAGATTTCTGTTCCTTCTTATACTCTCTGCCTGCAATTCTCACCTATCCCTGTCCTGCCTTTTATTAGACCAATCAGGTGCCTTAGGCAGGCAAGGTGAAACAAATGAACACATCTTTACATGGGTAACAAGGAAGAAGAAACTAATGTAACACACCTTTACTCAGTTAAAGTAAGACTCCACACCAGAAGCAGATGTAACACATCTTTGCCTAGTTCAAATAACATTCCACAACACTGTGGTTTCCAGGTATTGTTAATTTTCATATATGAATATTTTTTACTTTCAAAATAATGGGGTTTGAAATTAAAGAGAGAAATGAGAAATGCTGGCTGAATTTCAGAGTCTCTGCTGTCCCTGGTCCTGAGATTGCAGGTTTCTGCTGTAATGTTTACTCCAGAGGGTGGTGTCTGTGCTCTATTAACCCTGAGACTGTTTCTGCTGTCCTGTTGACCTGAGTGTGTCTGTCTCTGCTATACTACCTATTCCTGACGGTGTGAGCCTTTGCTGTGTTATTTACTGCTGAGCTTGGGAGCCTCTGCTGAAATGTTTACTCCTGAGAGTGTCTCTGTTTTATTTCTCACATGAGCTGGTAGCTTGTGGAGCTTTCCCCAAAGAGTGCAGTGCTAAAAAAAATAATTCTGTAATAGAACAAATGTATATCCATTAAGGTCATTTCCTTTGATAAGGGAATTTCCGTCCGTGTTCTGATGAAATTAAACACTAGGTCTACAGAGAATCCAAGCAGGGAGAAAACATTGACTCACATAACAAACTTGACCTTTGTTCAAGGTGCATTGCTGACTACATCTTAGCATTTATAAAAAACAGAACCGTCCCACACCACAGCCTTTCTTTATTATCTATGGTGGACATTCAAGCTGGAAGCATTGACTTTTTGCCCTGCAATCTAGAGGCTTACTCATTTCTCTGTGTTTTCTCTAATGTGCATATGGCATTTACATGTTAATAAACTGTTTTTAACCAAACTGAATGAAAGAAGTTTTGTGATGTGCTGTGTTGTAACTTTCTTGTAGCATGAATCTTAAAAGGTCTTATTAATAAAATCAAACCCGGAGCCAGGTATTGGGGTGAATGCTGAATGATCAGAGAAGCCCAGCAAGCCACAGCTTCCTCACCTCCCCAGTTCCTCAGATTGTGTTTCCTCAGACTGGAAGCCTCTGTGCTCTCATGAGAATGAATCTCAGCTGAACTGTGCTGCCCAAAGCCTAAAACCTTAACCAGCCTCTAGTTCCTCATCCTAATGCCTTAAAAACCTTCCTGCATTCTACCGTCAGTTCCCGAGTTTAGAGCCGTGACTCACCATGCCTAGTTGTTTCCAGTGTGGCCACGAACTCAGATATTCAGGTGGATCTCTGCCTCTGGAATGCTAGGATTAAAGGCGTGTGTGCCACCATTTTCTGGCCTCTGTATCTAGTGGCTGTTCTGTTCTCTGACCCCAGATAAGTTTATTAGGGTACACAGTATTTTGGGGAACACAATATCACCACACTTTCTATCCAAGATCATTTGACGGTTACATTCCTTCCCTAACTATATAATGATGGATAACCAGGGACAAAAACAGCTGTGATCACTATGGATGTAGGAGGGAGGTCAGGGAAGGTGGAGAGACCACTGTTCACCATCCCTCTGTTGTTCTCATGGCAAAGCCAAGTGGAAGATACGAGGTGAGTCTGGCTGCATTTCATCTCCTCAAAGCCATTCTGTCTCTTTCCTTAGGTTACACAGGTAGAGGGCTCCTTAGTTCTCAGCATCTGATCCCTTCTGGGAGTCCATTCACTTGATCCTTCATGATGCCTTCACGGTAGGATGTGGACCCTCTGTAAATGTTATGACAGCCAGATTCATGTGCTGTAATCATTGCTAAAACAGGTCAGTTTGGATATGCCTAATGTCAACAAGGATTAAAATAATATTTATTTTGGGAGAATTTAATATATGTATATAAATGTTTTATTTAAATCCCCACATTCCTTCACCTATTGCTTCTTATGCTTAAAAGCACTGTTCTCTCCCAACTTCGTGGGTTTTTTTCTGTGTTATTTCTTCATCCCACTTAGTGCTCCCTCCATGTGAAGGGGTGTAGGACAGTTGACTGGAACCTGGAAGCCTCTTAGATTGATTGTCTCCCTCAGAGGCCATCAATTGCCAAACAGCTCCTCCACTGGGTAAGACATAGTGAGGCCCTTATGCAACCATGAATATTGTGTGTTGGGGTTTAGTCAGTAAAAGTGTTGTCCAGTTAGCAATAGTCACAGTGTGTTCAAGTGTAGACAACTGCTAAACTGTCATATTAATAAATAACATGGAGCCAAATATTAGGATAAATTCTGAAATACCAGAGACACAGAATAATCCACAGCCTACTTCACTTTGCCAAATCCTCAGCTGATCTTGTTTCCTCAGACTGCAGGCTTCTGAGTCTTCACCCAAATGGATCTCAGGCGAACTCCTGCTCAAAAGCCTAAAAGCTTAAAAGCCTCTAGTTCCTGGTCCTCATGTCTTGCATACCTTTCTGCTTCCTGCCATCACTGTCTGGGATTAAAGGTGTGTGTACCATGCCTGGCTGTTTCCAGTGTGACCTTGAACTCACAGAGATCCAGATGGATCTCTGCCTCCTAAGTGATGGGATTAAAGGCATGTGTACCAACATTTTCTGGCTTCTATGTCTAAGCTGGTGGCTGTTCTGTTCTTTGACCCTCAGATAAGCTTAATGGGTTGAACATTTTATCAACCCCATTTAAGCATGAAATGGTACTATGTGCGGGGGTGTAGGACAGTTGACTGGAGCCTGGAAGCCTGTGGACATGTTTCAGAGTTCTAAAATGTTTCAACAATTCTACTGTCGCACTGCAGACATCGACTATTTCTGCCTCTTTTCCCTCAGGATTCCCTGACTTTTGACTTTAGCTGTACGTAAGGGACCTCTTTTACAATGTGTGACACAGGTGTCACTTTTAGACAAGGGCCCTCCACAGGCTAATATTCTTTACACTTCAACAAATGTGCATCTGTGTATTATTCCCTATCTACAATGCAACTAATATTTTCTGGTGGGTGTTGAGAGGTGCCTGACTCTGTGGGATAAAGATAAGGACTTGGGTTCCTGACTCTGTGGGGTGAAGATGAGAATTGGGTTCCTGACACTGTGTAATATGATGAGCACTTGGGTCGCTGACTCTGTGGCATAAAGATGAGACCTTGGGCTCATTTAGTTATTATCCACTTATTAGAATAACAGCCTTCAATTCTCCCTAGGTCTTATCACCAAGCCAAGCTTAAGTATATTACCAAATTAATATCACATCAGTTACAATTTGTGGAATAAACATTAAATCCAACCAGAAAATCATTGATTACTCTCATAACTTGTCTGTCATTATTGCTCTATGGGCACTGTTGTTTTTTATCTGGGGTGCAGAAGCTGCACCTCATACTATCAATGCCACAGCTGATGACTTCACCTCTTCAGCTGCAGCTGCTGCCTTGTGCTGAGGCCTTAGATTGGAAGAGCCTTCCTGTAGTTTTAACTACGTCATTGTCCTTTTATTTCACCAATAAGGATGCAGGAGCCAGATACTGCATGACAACCTGCTAGCTCAGATAGAAAGTTTTTTTTACACACCAAGGGGAGATATTACAGGAGTTTAGATGACTCCACTGGGAAAAACAACAGTAACTATGCTACAGCCCAGATTTCAGATACCAGGTACTCAGGGGACAATTTCAGGGCATGGTAAAGGTTTCAGAGACCATTTATAGTAACAGAAAAAGAGACACATTAATCAAGGCTAGTTTCAAACACACTGCTTGAACAAATTGTTGGGGGTTAGCAAACAGAAATCTCTACAGCTCTCTGATGACATTCTTAGCATTTTTGCTATTGGAAGTTAGATGTTCTTGTTGATGATCCAAAATGATTAACCTAATATTCTCCACTATGGATTCATTGGGGTGGGTAAGATCTGAATAGTTAGCAAATATTTTACCACACTTCACACACTCACGGAGTTTGTAGTCAGAATGAATCATTTGAAGTATTTTAAGGGTTGAAAAAGTAAACATTTCTAGACATATGTAGGATATTGCTCCCATATGAATTATAACATCTGTTGAGTAAGCACATAAAGATTAACAAAGTTTTTGATACATTGCCCACAATTTTAGGGATCGTTTTCAGAATGAATTTCCTTTCTTTTTTACATTGTCTAAAGGATGAAGGTGAAGAGAACCTTCTGTCACATATTCACAGTTTTAGGGATGCTCTCCAGTATGAACTGTCTTGTGTCTCATAAGGGATGAGATATAATGAAAGACTTTGTGACATTCTTCACACTTGTAGGGTTTCTCTTCACTATGAACTCTCTTGTGTTTCCTAAGGGATGAGAGATAAAAAAAGGCCTTGTGACATTCTTCACACTTGTAGGGTTTCTCTTCACTATGAACTCTCTTGTGTTTCATAAGGTATGAGAGATAACAAAAGGCTTTGTTACATTCTTCACACTTGAATGGTTTCTCTCCAGTATGAACTCCCATGTGATTCCTAAGGGATGAGAGATAACGAAAGGCTTTGTGACATTCTTCACACTTGTAAGCTTTCTCTCCAGTATGAATTGCCTTATGTCTCCTAAAGCCTGAGAGATAATGAAATTCTTTGCCACATTCTTCACACTTGTACAATATCTGTCCAGTATGAAGTGTTTGATGTTCCTGAAGATCCCTAGAACAGGAATATCGTTTGCCACATTGTTCACAGGTATAAGGATTATCTTCAGAATGGATAGTTTGATGTGCTCTAAAACATGCATCTGAGGAAAAACATCTGCCACACTCTTCACACTTATAAGGGTTGTCTTCACTGTGAATTATTTGATGTCGTCTAAGGCATGAAGCTGAGGAAAAATATTTGCCACACTCTTCACACTTGTAGAGTTTCTGTCTAGTATGAACTACCTTGTGGTTCTTAAGTGATGAGTGATAAAGAAAGGTTTTGTGACACTCTTCACACTTGTATGGTCTCTCTTCATGAATTTTACTATGTTTCTGAAGGATTGCAGAATGGGAAAACCTTATGCCACACTCCTCACACTTGTAGGGATTGTCTTTGTAGTGAACTGTTTGATGTTGAGTAAGGGATGAGAATGAAGAAAATAAACTGCCACACTCTTCACACACGCATGGTTTCTTTCTAGAATGAATTCTTTGATGTTGCTTCAGCAGTGAAGGAGTGTAAAAGGATTTGCCACATTCTTCACATTTGCATGGTTTCTCTCCAGAATGAATTCTTTGATGTCTCTTCAGCACTGAAGGTTTATAAAAGGATTTGCCACATTCTTCACACTTGTAGGGTTTCTTTCCAGAATGAATTTTTTGATGTTCCTTCAGCACTGAAGGATTGTTAAAGGATTTGTCACATTCCATACAATTGAAGGGTTTCTCTCCAGAATGAATTCTTTGATGTTGCTTCAGCATTGAAGATTCATAAAAAGCTTTGCCACATTCTTCACACTTGTAGGGTTTCTCT